GTCAGGTTTGCCTGTAGTGTGAGCCTTAGAGCCCCTGATTCTTTTCTTCACAGTAACATTTTTCCTTCCATCCTTTAATACACGTTTGGATTAGAAATGGAGAATACAAAAAAGGTTATGCTGAGATTTTACAGAAAATTAAACTTAAATCACTTCTGAAGTCACTCATTAAGTCCCGATAAGGGACTTAATGAGTGATTTTTGATTCAAATTGATTCAAAGTTTTTTTATCTAACAAAAACCATTTGATTGCATCGACTCATTGACTTGAAGGCAATCCCTCACATCAAGCATGCTTGTAGTGACAGTGGAGAGGAAAAACTCCCCTTTAACAGGAAGAAACCTCCAGCAGAATCAGGCTCAGTGTGCCGAGGCTGACTGGGGTTCAAGGAAACAGAAGCAGGGATATAAAATATATTTAAATATCTACCCGTCTAGCTCTGCTAATGAGCTAACATTGGATTTAGGTGTGCTGATGCAGAGATGAATCTAAAATGACTTGAGTTTGAGACTCCTGGTTTAAGTGAATAGGTTGATTCGAAAAAGTATTGCAACAGTTAGAAGCATGTTGATTAAGGCTAAAACAATCATGATTGATTATTGAAATAATCAATAATCCAATTACTAAAAACTAATTTAAAGTCTTAGTGAAACGGCTATTCCAACCGTTGCATTTCCAAATTCTCCCGAGTGGTGCCCGACTTAACATGAGTGAATACAGTGAATGTGATTGGCCGTTTATCAAGGGGGCGGAGCCTGCCGAAGACACAGACGTCCATCCCCGTGAACACTGGGACGGAACTCAATGGGAAAGGAAATGATTGATTTCTACCGGTGCATATATTAGCTGCATTTAAATGAAGATGCTATGACCGACAAGATTTGATTGACAGATGACCGTTGATATATGATTGGCCGAATTTAGGAGTTCAGGCTGACATATAAAAATATTGGGGAAAAAAACAGATCTTAAGAGAGAATTTTTATTTTATTTTTTTTCAATAGAAATTTTCTAAATTTTGGGACGATATAGTCTGATAAAAAGTACATTTGCATACGTTTAAGCCAGAATGATTTGATATTTAAATATGACTTCCCTACGACTAATGATTGATAGTAATTATACCAAAACTGTAAAAATAAAAATTGCATTCAAGAAGAGATGCATTTTTGTTTGTCAATATCAAGAACAAGTGGAAGAATCTTAGTTTCACCTGATTTGATTCTGTAAAAATCTTCAAGCAGCCTTTTGCTATCTGATTATTAATGGAACGATCAATACACAAAGGCGGTATACAAAAAATTTCATTCAGTAAAGCTCTCAAGATATTTCCATTTCTGAAATTGGTCCTTAGTTGCAGCCCTAATGAGATATTATTGCAATATCACTGTAAATAACAGAATAAATTAGTTTTTCAAACTGAAATTAGATGCTTAAATATTTTATTGATCCCTAAAGAAAGTTAAACAAATGGCATAAAGTCAATTTAAAGTTTTTCGTGAATTTCATTTAATGCCTTTGGCACATTTGCAATGCTTACAGAATTTTGAGGACCTCAACTTTTAAATATAAGCTTAGAATATATTTTTAATAAGGCTTTGTTTTGAGGTGGGTACTCTTTAGGAAACTCCCCAACTATACCCTTGTAATGAAGCAGTCAAATGCATACAATTATTTTTTACAGCAACACTTACTTTTGGGCATTAGGGATGTTAGACCTAACCTCCCCTAAAAACTCTTTGGCAACACTGCACTGTCGCCAAATTAACTTGCCTCTAAGCATTTTAGAATACACTTTGGACAAACAGTTTGACAAGTCAAGGAGTTTCTTGTAAAGATGAGGCAAAATAACCCCTCTAGATTAAATCCTACACTACATAATAAAAAGGATTTCTGATCACTTAAGTACAAATCAATTCAATTTATTCATATAGTGTGAATCTACAACACACGTCATCTCAAGGTACTTTACAGCATCAACTCAAACAGATGATACAGTCAGATTGGTTTAAAGATTTCCAAGAAATAACAAGCTCTACCGGAATCCTTTATACATGCATGAATGAGGTGGCAGAGAGGAAAAACTCCCTTTTAACAGGAAGAAACATTCAGAACCAGGCTCAGTGTGAGCATACTTCTTTCAAAGCCCACTCAGGGTTCAAGTGTTATGGATCATATTTTTTTTTGCCAAACAACAACTATAAGATTAGTTAGCCCCTATGTGTAAGAGGAAATCAAACCACCATGAAGCTGCACTCTGTCACATAAGTCATAAACAACTGATGGACCCTCTAACGTTACACAGGCAAGTTTTTGAGCAGAGTTCAAGTTGGATTTGGTATAAAGCCAAACTACCTAATTATGGTTTTATGAAAAATCAATGGCAAACAATGGTGAAAAAAAAACCCGAAACACCTGAAATGCAAGTTCTCTCTGCAATATTTTCAACACTTCTAAAGTATAAAACAATTCAAAAGCTAACCAGGTTCATTTATACAACCAGATTTTTTGGTTACATTTCTTTTGCTGAACCATGACACAAATTAAGCTTTATTATGCTGGTGTGTTCAATATACATAATCGGGTCCACAGAAAAGCTCTTTACCTGTATCGGTGCGCACTAGGTTGGGCTTGTCAGTTGCGCTATTTAGACTCTCTCTGTAGTTGAGAGTGGCAGTGGCTATGAAAAAACAAAAACATTGAATATATTTTAGTGTGTTGAAGATGGTAACAGCAACATCTAATTTGAAAGAAAACATGAAAAAACTTAGTGACCTTCATCAGGCTCTGAGGTGCTGGTTGTAGTGATGTCACTCAAGCCTGACTCATCTGATGCCTCAGCCTCTGACGAGGTCTCGCATACGATCACCTCATTGGCATCAAAATATTCTGCCATAGAGTCTGCCACTGAAGGAGCACGATGACTATGACGACTTATAGACGGCGACCTCTGTAAGAAATAACAAAAGGACAAATCATATTTTCAACATTACATTTCTTCAAGTTTAATATCCCAAAGGCTGACAGTCTGATGATTATTAGGATCATTCTGTAGAAGAATTTTGGAGGAGTTCCCAGAAAAACGCCAATGCTTCTCTTAGTTCTTTGCTCTATAACTGAAACCTCAATAAATTACATAAACTATGCTCCACAACAAAAGATATGCAGCACCCTTCTCTAAAATTCAAATTGCTGTTGCCAGTACCCTGAAACTGTCAGATGCATTTGCATTACCCTAAAAACTTGAATCAAATGGCTGAACTAGCTCACCTCTTGTGCAGTCAGGTTTTACACAGCTGCTAATGAGCTTCTATTGGACTCCACTGCCTGCAACTTTTAATGCCTTTGTCTTAACACATCTGTGTTCTATCAGATGAGCATACCCCGTCTATAGTCAGACCGGCATACATATAGTCCTTAACACATCTGTGTTCTATCAGATGAGCATACCCCGTCAGACCAGCATACCTATAGACATCAGATTTGAGTTGATCCCTTCAGTTTTGGACGAAAAATAAACTTTGTCAATGGGCAAATGTTCCTTTATTCATGTACAAAAAAAAAAATAAAAAATACATTTTGGTGTTTTTTTAAGCATATGGCAATCTGATTTTAAAGGGAAACCTTTTTTTTTTCCCCCCCTCTTTTTTTTAAACCACATTGGGCCCTTGATTTTGTCTCATATCATGTTCTACTCACCCATATAAGTTTTGTGTTATTTGGAGCTGTTCTATAGATATTCCGTTAAGTTATATCTAAGTAACGTCTTCCTATGGGCAACGACTTGAAGGCACAAACTAAACTGTTCATTATTTATTCGTTATGGTACACCAGCAATCATAACATGTAGGCGAATCACTGTCCCCTAGACATCCGCAGTTATATTATTTATATCTTTTAAAAACAAAGTGGCGCGTGTATGACGTCATCCATGCTCCAGACTGGAGTTGTGACAGGCAGCCCGGGCCACAGGCGGCTACGCTCTACCCCTTCTATTCACTCGGCTAGCTAATCTGAATTGTTCAACTCCATTTCGAGAGCCTTTAAATTGTTTTTTGTACTTGAATAAAGGAATAAATGCCCGCTGAGATGATTTGACCAGCACACCCATAGTCAATAACCATTTATCTCTTTAGCTTTGTATGAAAAATACACTTTAAGAGGTAGTCTCTTGTGTCCTTTCTTGCAATCAATTCTGCAGTTGAATCTCCAGACTAGTCTGTTGTCTAGGTAATCAGGTGTTTAATCTACTTTATGATGTTAATGGTGTTTGACCTGTTCTTTGGTCTCCTGAATTCAAAATTGTTCCCTACATTTAGGATAGCCGTTACCACATCATACAGCACACTGGTCAACCAACTCCCAGTACTAGTCTGTAGCATCAAAATAGCCTTGCATTGCATCAGCATTACATGACCACTTTCACACTTTTTCCTCTAAAAAAGCCATTTATATGGTGAGCAGAATAAAACAGGGTTAGGGTCTGATCTCAGGAGAAAGTATTGCTTTAGGGATGCATGATTCCATAACATTTGTATTAAAGTTGAAATTACTCTCAGGAACAGCCATTGACCAACTTTTGGAACACTGGCATGAGAATGAGTCACGATCAAGCACCAAATACTGTCACAAAACATAGGGGTGTTTTGTCTTTATCTTGGCAACAGGTGAGCTCATAACATTTAACTGGTTGCCAGAACAACACTGTTGAGGCCCGGGTAAAAAACAAAAAACTGAAGTTTCAACCTTACATTTCAATATCCTGGCTGCATAGACCTAAGCAAATAGTAACACATTCTTGAGGACACAGTCTGCTAATTTACCAACAATTTAATCAATACTGAAAATTCTTCTCATGCAAGTTTGCCAGACACTGAAGAAATGGCCCAGCAACCATGTTCAATTCAGTTTATTTATTTAGCGCCAATTCACATCCCAAGTCATCTCAAGGCATTTTACTCAGACAATTCAACCAGATCATACAGCGAGATTGGTTCAAAGTTTTCCATCTAAGGAACACCAGTTGATTGTGTCGACTCATTTACTTTACAGAAGTGTTTCACATCAAGCATGCTTGGGTAACAGTGGAGAGGAAAACTTCCTTTTAACAGGAAGAAACCTCCAGCAGAACCAGGCTTAGTTTGAGCAGCCATCTGCCGAGGATGATATAGAAAAAAAAAGCAGAGATACAAAAGGTTGCTGTCAACCAGCTTCACAGGCAGCCTAGTCTAGGAAACACACAGCTAGGTAGAGGGTGAAAGAGAGCACATACAGTTAGTCACAATAAGAGAAACAGGACTATACTGAAAAACAGGCCAAGCTCCAACATCTTTAAACAAAGGTGTTAATGGCAGCAGCACAGCTCTGGGATGTTCCAGTGAACAATAATGGATTGTAAATATTATGGGTTTGCCTTTGTTAGGATTTGAAATCCCTCAAATGTGTTCCTCAGAAATCTTACACCGTCTATCATAAAATCGATTTGAATCGAGGTTCACCGAAGGAAACCGGCAGTAGCGTTAAATTGGATCCACCTTCACAGTCACCATCATATGGTGACAGTCACCATCATATGGTGACAGTCACCATCATATGGTGACAGTCACCATCATATGGTGACTGAAGGTGAGGGTGATGAATCCGCCCTGCATTCACTCCCAACAAACTTCCTAGCAGACATGACACTGAATCTGCTGCAACTGCAAATCTTTATTTTTTTCTTTTGGCAGGTGGTAAACAGCAGCTAGGTTAAATCCAGGATTGAAGAAATCTTTTTATGCAGGTCGGGCGCCTCTGGGCACATTGCTGCCCCTCTCAGGACACTGGCTTGTGACATTTCATGGGCATTTAGTTGCCATGCGTTATGCATAAGATGGACTGTCATTTCAATTCAGTTTATTTATATAGTGCCAAATTCACAACACATGTCTTCTCAAGGCACTTTACAGTTAAACCAGATCATACAGTCAAATTGATACAAAGTTTTCTATCTAAGGAAAACCAGTTGATTGCATCGACTCAAATACAATCCCTCACACTAAGCATGCTTGTAGCGACAGTGGAGAGGAAAAACTCCCTTTGAACAGGAAGAAACCTCCAGCAGAACCAGGCTCAGTGTGAGCGGCCATCTGCTGAGGCCGACTGGGGTTCAAGGAGACGGAAGCAGAGACAGATTTCACGCGAGTTCTGTAATTGTTATGAATACTCTATGTATACACCCAAAATTGAAAACATACAAGTTCAGTGTACGCCAGCATATTAGAAGATTGTGGGATGTCAGGTATACGCTGGCTAAATTAATAAGGTGTCAGAGGGGCTTTAGTCAAGAAAAGCTGATGTTGGCTTGCGTCAGTCAACCGGACCTTAAACATTCCTTCACTTTTGTCTAAGTCAGGGGTGTCAAACTGGTTCCAGAAAGGGCCGTGTGGCTGCAGGTTTTCTTTCCAACCAAGCAATTGCACACCAGATTCCATTCATCTCATCAAGTGAGTCTAATCTTAACATGATGACTTGATGAGATGAATGGACTCTGGTGTGCAATTGCTTGGTTGGAAAGAAAACCTGCAGCCACACGGCCCTTTCTGGAACCAGTTTGACACCCCTGGTCTAAGTCCAAGCTTCCAAACAATGAGTCATAACTGCCTCATCTGTGCTTGGATCAGCTCACACTTCCTGCTCTGGTCAGCACAGTCCAATTAAGCAGCCGTATTCATGCAGATCTTTTAATGCTGTAGCTCTCGTAATGTCTTATGGTGCATTCACTCCAAAAGCATTCTGGACATCAAAGAGTCTGATTTACATGTAGTCCTTGTTGGACAGGTTAAAGCAGCATCCAGAACAACCAGTCAAAGTCCCAGCACCAGGGCGTCCATTGCCATGGTTCTCAAATGGAAAGGTCGGAAAGGTGATTTGTCCTCTTAATGAGAAATGAGAGTTCCTGCCTCAAGTTGAGGAGTTCAAGTATCTTTGGTCCTGTTGACAAGTTAGGGGAGAATAAAGGGGAAGATCAATAAACTGATCAATTTGGCTGTTGCTATGGTGCGGAAGCTGCACCAGTTTTGTGTGATGAAGAGAAAGCTTGGCAAAAAGGCAAAGCTCTCGATTTACCGGTCGGTCTACATTTCTACCATGCAACAATTTTCAGTTTCTCCTTGCATCTAGTGAGCAACCGGGCTCAATGCCCCAATTTAGACTGTTTATTAGAAATGCATCATTGGAGATCAACATGAGACGTTTAGAAAAGCTACCACTCTAGGCAAAAAGTCAGCAGCCATTAGCGCAAAACCTGATTATCACATGCGCACTGCAGTGGTAGTGTCACAAGGCTCCACGCCCCTCACTTCATTCTGCTCAGCTCCATACACACAGAAAGCTAAGAATGTTTGGACCAACATTAACATTGATTTATCCGTGTACCCAGACAACAGAAGAAAGGTGAGACAACATTCTGGAGCTTAGACAGAAGGACAGAGGAAGACAGCCGAGGATCAGCAAAGCCTGCTGGGCCAACAGCAGCTAGAGCAGGGGACAGAAGGCAACAGTTGGCTGGTGTCTTCTCTGGAAGTTACAGGAAGAAAGTATTTCAAGGGCTAAATTAAAACAACTTTTGTAAAAGCCACCTAAAAATCTTCTAATAGCATTCCCACTGACGCCTCCATTAACATAATTTTCAGTATTGATTAAAAAGAGCTTTTCCCAATTGCCTCTTTTAGTGAAACGAACGTAAACTAAAGTTCAGATTTTCATCTCATGCAATTTTTGCTTCTTTGTTTGGAGTCACAGATGTGATCAAATTTCATTAACTTCACCAGAATCGTGCCATCCTTACTAATCTTCACTCCAGAGCCACTTCTACATACATTTCGCAGCTAGAGCAAAGAATTCTTCTGCTATCTCCGAGTTTGGTGTGAACCACCCAAATAGTTCTGGTTTTATAGATAACACAGCTCTGTGTGGAGTTGACAACTGAAATGCTGTCCAATCTCAAAAAATACATTTACAGAAATTCTTTTTTATTATGCCTGCGAAATGGGTATAGTATTTTATCCCAAGTGGTCTTAAAAAGTATTGCATTTAACTTTTGGAAAATTGTAGGAACCTTGGATAAGGACCTTGATCATTCAGGAGAAGCTCGGCATAGAGCTGCTTCTCCTCAACATCGACAGGAATCAGCTGATGCTGCTCAGACATCGTTTTCTGATGCCCACTAGATGCCTCCCTTAGGGGGTGTTCCAGGAATGTCCCACTGCGGAGGCCTACAGGACGACCCAGGACACATTGGAGGGACCGTCTCTGGGCTGGTATTGGAGTACCTCAGGCTTCTCCAAGAGGACCTGGTGGAGGTGCCCCTGTGACACCTTCCCTATTGGACACCTTTTTGGCTTCAGCGTGAATGCAGCATTATGGAAATCAAGGCTCCCTTTAGGAGCACACAAACATTCTCGGCTCATTATTAGAGCCACTCTGCAGTCGTCTGTACCCCCTTTTCTTATTTCATTCATTGTTGAAACATGAACGATTCTTACTGGTGACCCATTAGAAAAATCAAAACAGGGAATTTCACCAAAAGCAGGGGGATGTTCATGTAGAATGCCATTGCATTTCTAGTGTGGACTGAATTATTACTTTTTTTTTTTATGAACCCTATTTTCGGTTAAAGCTATTCTTTCTTATGATGTATTCCAGGAATCTTCTTTGACACCAATTCCTCTTATTCCATCTTTAACAACCAAAGTAACATTTGAAAGAACTTTTAAAATGTGTCATATGCCTCCTGATGAATTCTGTTGTGTTGCTTCTTTAAAATTGTATTGAAAAAAGCCAATATTGATCAATCTACGCATCTACAACGATGATTGGGAGAAAAAGCGACAAGGATGAAACAGATAATTGCTCCTCAAGATAAAATCCTCAATTATCAGGAATTATTCTACTTTTAAAATGTTCTGTTATTATAATTCTACTTTAGAAAGATGTTTTCTTTGACCATGCAAACTTCAAAGTAAGCATTTGTTAGAAACTTCAAAAAATATCTCCAAAATATTTTGTTTCAAGACAGCAAAAATAAAAAGGGCTTGCCAGTCTTATTCAAATCCATTTTGAGTGTTGCATCAGTATTTTTACTTGTTTAAAGAAGGTCACCATCAGACTGCAAGGTTTTATACAGGACAAGAGAGACTAAATCTCTACAAGATACCAGTGGGTCCAGACTCACTGAAAAACCCACACTCCACAGTTTTTGAATTAAACTTCACAATTGCTACTTTCTTGGCAAAAACACCTAAAGATATATTTAAATGGGATTTTATCCTTTGTCGTTTTTCGCTTCATTTATTTGATCTTGGTGACACACCTTGTGATTATCTTTGAAAAATACTGTACTCGTTTACCCAGATATGCTTGTTATAGGACTTCAGTGCCTCTGCAATCTTCCTTCAGACTCTGTAACCATGGTTTAATATTAAATAGCAAAGCTAACTTGAATGTAAGCAACAGTGCAATTTTTTTTTTTCTCCATAGCCCAGTGTGGTGTTTTTAATGCCTTGGGTTAAAGAATGGCTACTATGCTCTTTTCATCCCCTGAACTTTCTATGAATACGTTTGGGTATGACACCTAACTCTCAGCCTCTTTGGCAACGTCCCTTTTGGGCTTACCTTTCCAGAGAAAGTGTCAATAACCATCTTCTGGACATACTGTAAGTCAGTGGTCTTTCCTACAATTGAGTTGAATTCTGACTCGGAATGAGAGACCATGTAGAGCATGGGTGGGCAATTCCAGTTCATGAGGGCCGGTATCCTGCGACTTTTAGATGTGCCTTTGGTTCAACACACCTGAATCAAGTAATTGATTGATGATTGAGAGGACTCTGGAGGAACTGACTGCATTCTGAGGAGGTAACTCAGCCATTTGTTTCAGGTGTGTTGGACCAAGGATGGATCTAAAAGTTGCAAGATACTGGCCCCCAGGAAATGGAATTGCCCACCCCTGATGTAGGTGTTAGGAAACATCTATTCAGTATGGAGCCACACCCTCTGAAATAATTAGAAATCATTGAACCTTTTTTTAGAATGTTTGAATGCGTGAATTTTTGACAGGCATCTATAATCAATCTTGTAAGGCAAAGTAGGAAGAAGAGTGTAGGGACAACAAAAAATGTTAATGTTAATTCAGCAGAATGTATACAGCAACATCTCTTTAGAAGGACACATGGCAAATAAATTTCCCATTAAAGACTTGGATGAATTAGATAGAAGCATGGCAAAAAGATCGATCAAGTAAAGTACACACCTGATCTGTACAGACAGTACAGAAGGATTCATCAGTAGAGCCAGAGGACAGGGAAACCGAATGGACTTTGGTCAGATGGGACTGCACATCAAGCTGCACATGCATATACAGAGAGACACGGAGGAATAGCAGCAAAGCCATGCAGAAAATAGCGTAGGAAACAGGAAAAACAAGGAATAGTAGAATCCAATGCACCCTCTTTGCAGTGAATGTTTATGCATTTAGCAGATGCCTTTAGTATGCACTCATTTGAAAAACAGTTATGACAAATACAGTTCCTGGAAGAGGAGATTACAACCTTTAGCTTAAAAGATCTTACAAAGCAAAGCATGGATACATTTAAGCCAGGTTCTATTTATTTTTTTGAATCTAATCTGGACTTAAAAACAAACTTAACTCACAAGTTGTAATACATCTTGGTGTTAAAGAGGACATGCTCCCATTGTTAAATTTAGATTTTAAAACCTGGCAATGGACAGTTTTCTGTGTCCTAATGTGAAAGAAATTATAGAAACTAAAATGATGAACTCCCAATTAATATATAGATGACAGTCACTTTCAAGGCAGACCGTACAAGCAACTGAGAATTAAATGGTTTTAACATGCAGCAGCATGTACATTTAAATACAAAGACATTCAGTTTCAGTGTGTCACAGCCATATCTGTTCAAGGAAGGGAAAGACAAGAATACTGACAAAGAGAGGAACTCAAGGAGTGTTCCTAACTAGAAACAGCACAAACCTGTTGAGCAGTTTCACACAGAACCTCCTAGAAACAAGGAAGGCTTGGCTTCCTTTGTATCTTTAGGCCGATACTAATGAAATGTCTGCTAGTAAGCAGTAGAATCTTAAAAACCTAATCCTGGGGAAAAACATGGTGGTGGGGCTTTAGAGGTCTTCTTTCCATGTTTGACAATGAATTTGCTTTTACCTGCAGCTAAGTGAGAACAACTTCCCATTTCTAGTGAGGACTGTTTGGGTGAGGGGTTAGGTTTAATATTAAATGCTATGAATTAGATGTACACAAGTACTGGTAATAGTAAGGTGTGGATTTAAGCCAAAGGCAGGGTTGAAGATGAATGCCATTGGGAGATAAGGCAATTAGTAAGTATTCAAAGCATGAATGAATGCATGTGTTAGAACCTTACCTCAGAAAGTGTGGTGCACAGTGTTGCCAGCTGCTGTGATGCATTCTGCCTCAGGTCAGGGCTAGCCCAAGCCTGTCTCAGTCTCTCCCTTTCCATGGTCAATACCTCATGAATGGAGGTCAGAGAAGCATGCACTAGAAGAAATCATTTACAAGATCTCACCACTGCAGCCTAACATAAGTCTATTTTGATAAATAATGCAAATACAGTCAAATTTGTATAGGAGTATGCCATAAATTTTAAAAACTGCAGCAAAGTCATATTACCAAAAGGCTACCATTTGGTAAAAGGCCTTACCCCTCTGAGAAAGAACACAAATGTCTTGGTGTAGCTTTTTAGCCTCCGGTGAGGTTACTTGAGGGTTTGAGAGCTGCGTATAAACATAGTCTGGTATGGACTGAACAGACGCAGCCATATTGGAACCGTTGTTTGTACTCAGATGACTTGATGTGAACTAGAGATGGAAAGACAGACAGCATTAAACTGAAAATGGAGAATAAGTGTAAGCATTGGTGAACTTAACTTTTTTAGTACAATGTAGTTCTGAACAAAATTGTCAGTCGTCTCCCTTTTTACAGACACAATCTTGGCTATTATAGTTTCAGAAAACTTCTGCTGCCATGCCGTAAATGGTCCGGTTTGTTTTAGACTACAGATTATTAGGTCTTGTCAGAATGGCTTATGCCTCGGTGTAACTCAGTCTGGCTGGCAAAGCTATCCCCAAGTGATAACACCAATTTTATCAAACTGAACAATGACTGTATTAGCGAGATGGTGCAGGACCAAGTAATTGCTAGCAGCTTAAACATTTATTAAGTTTTTGCCTTCACAAGCCAGACCAGTTTATAAACCATGTACAAGTGTTTTGTACTTGGTAAAGAAGTTTTTTGACAAATCCGTCAGGCATTTTCCAATGTCCATATTGAATATATTCAGAACATTACAAGTGGAGAAATAGCATACATAGTTAAAAACAGGTCTTACCATTCCACCCATGGCTTCAACACGAGACAAAGTCCTTGAGTGACCCACCTTCCCAGACTTCTTCTTGGGTTTCTCCAAGAAAAGATTCTTAGAACAAAACAATATACTAACAATTATTAATCAAGCATATTGTCAAGTATAAAACAATTGTTCACCATAAAACTAAAGGTTCCCAAGTGTAGAGTTTTCTTTTGTCACAGTAAATTTTTTATATGGAGAACAAAAGAAAAATAATAAGTTGGTCACCTTTTTATTCTATGATTAAACAGAATGTACTCAGTTGGCCTTATCAGTAAAGGATAAAATCAAAGCAATATATCTCCATTACACAACATTTGGTTAGCTGGGATCAGTGTTCTTGCCTGCATGCTGATGCGCATCTCAAGGTCAGTGTTAGTGAGCGGGATTCCTCCTTCAAGCCAGTGGAGTCTCTGTATGAGCTGAACCAGTTCTGTCAGTTCTGCTTGACTCCGAGCCAGGTCTGGTTATCAGTAGGAAAAGTTTGAAATGTAAGGGAACAAGTAACCAGTATGGCAATGCTGGCTTTTAATAAGGTAGGCTATACCAAACATGTGGAAATATGTTGTCCATTTAGTTTGGGCTAATAAAGATCAGAAATAAATATGTCACCATTAGAAGTTGCATCAATGTTGTGGGTCTGCTGGAGCCAAGCAGACACCTTGTTGTTGACCCCCGAGTAAGAGGACATGGGAGCAGCGTTCATCTCTGGACCGGCTACAGATGCTGAGCTGGCGTAGTGAGGCAGCTAGAAAACCATATATAAAGGAAAAAAAAAAACAAACACAGACCAGATACAATAAGACCTTATATGAGGACTAGACAGAAAATAATAAATTTTCACAATTTTAAAATGTAAATATTATGGTAAAATTTGTTTTCGATTCAAATGTTCTATAATTTTCACTTCTTTAAAAATAATAATAATAAAGTAGAGGAAAGAGATATATATATATATATATATAGTTACTTCTCCCAAAAAGTAACAGTTACTCCACAATAAAAGTAACTAGTCACTAGTAAAAGTAACTATTGCGTTACTTTTGCGTTTCTCGACCTCGCAACCCTCACCACCCGGCCCCCACCTTCTTGCCGTGTGTTTCCAAAGCCTGCTGAATAGATCGGACGACAGAGACAAGAACCTGCAGAGAGTTTTGCATTTATGGCAACTCAACGTAAATGACATCAGGGGGGAACGCTATCTGATGGGCCTAGAAACCCCGTCAGATAGTGTTCTCCTCTTCTTAACACGGGGGGCACTATCAGATGTGTAAATATCTGACTGCGTTACCTCTACTCATGGGTGTAAAGTTTTTTAACATGGCGTTCAGATCTGGTGAGTGTATGAAATTAATAACTGGGGATGTCTAATTCTGAAATCCTGTGTGTTTGGGTTGTTATAGATACTGCAACATATATCTATCCATCCATATTTCTCCCTGTCTCCATATAGGCTATCATTTGATCGTTCTCGCTCTCCTTAGTTCTCCTGTGGCACGAGCACAGGGCGGCTGTTACACGCCTTTAGCGAGCATGCGCGTTTGAATCGTGCTGCCTGCGCTGTGCGGAGATGCAGGGGAAACCGTATGTGATGGGGAAACGCAGCTCGACATAACACCGGTATTTCCATCTGAAAAACGCTGTTTTGCTGCTGGAGTCATCCTCACTCTCCATCTCTCTGTGTGTGCTGTACGTTAACAACCGCCAGCAGAAACACCCACCTACCCAACTGACAGACGGAATCTCACTATACATCAGCAAATCTCATCCTCCCCTCTCTCATGACAAGGCGCGCACGAGTCCTATCATGAAAAAAAGGTTAAAGGTGCGACCTGAGTAACGCGCAGTAACGGGGTGTCTGCAATGGTAACTGCGTTATAGTTACAGTCAAATAATTAGTTAGATTACTTGTTACTAAAAAAAAAAAAAAAAAGGTTACAGCATTACTTTTAACACCATTATTGAAAGTAGCAGCCATTCAGTATGGCCTTTCCCAGTCAAACGCCAGCCTATTCCCCTGCAACTCCCAGCAAAATCCCCTCCAACTTCCACTCACTGGCCTTCTTCTGGGCGTGCATATTTTTTTACTCCAACTCCATCCTTTAACTGAATCACAGGGTCTGACAAGGAGATGACGCTTGTCTTTACATCTTAATGTCCACAAATCATGACGAATATTTCAGGACAAATATTGATTTTTAAAAAGGAATTGTAGGAGACCAGCCAAGGGCCCATCAATGAAAGTGGGGTAATTTCAAATGGCTACTACAAGTAAATTTTTTTAGTAATATATTAAGTTATTCACCTGCTACACAAACAAACATTAAATCAAAACAAAATTACCACAAAAAATGATTTATACTCACAGTTGATTGGTGTTGATGGGTCATATTGGCCATAATGGGCAGTGAACTCTGGTTCATTGAAAGAGCATGAAGAACACCTCGATGGACACTCATTGCTTCATGTTTTCTAAAAACACGGTGGGCAGCCAGCTTTGTCAGCCAAATGTAGAAGAGATCACTGCTCTTTGCCTAACAGAAAGAAAAAAAAAATAAAAAGTGAGACAAATGATTAATGCCAAATAATATTAGGAACATAAATCCAGGTTAAAATTTAAGCATCCTAATGATTTAAACTGTCTCATTCATTACAGTTTAAATACCTTAAGATGGTAAAGGTTGTCTCCACCATCGAGATCTATTCGTTTGGCCTTTTTGTTCACTGACATAACAGCCATGCTGACATCCAGGGAACCGTGGAGTTTTCCTTTCAGAATCTTAAACACAAGAACAGTTTTACTCATCTCTTCAACCATGTTGAAAAATAAACTTTTTTCTTTTGGATCCTCAGAGCATCTTTAACTCACATCTTGTTGAGTCTTTGCATATTTGAGAATACCCTTCTCCAAAAGGAAGTACCTCTGAGGGAGAGAAAAGAGGCAATAGAAAACCCCAGGAAGTGAGTTATTTCAGCAAACATGTCACAAGTTTTAGACAATTATCCTAAAAATCAGGTTGTTTTATCAACAAAATGTCTGTATGAAACTTTATCTTCTAAATACAACCAAGCAAGATACTAGTTATAAAATAAATACAATTCCAGTACCGTGCTTGGTTGTATTTTGAGAAAGAGAGAAAAAAAAAAAAAAAAACTTTCATACATACCCATTTTGTTGATAGACCTCAACATTTTTAATGGTAATGACCCTAAAGAGCCAAAAACATGTTATTTATACTGAACTCACCTTGTGCCATCCCTTTAGTGGGTACTTCCTTCTCTTCATGAGATAACCCTCACAGATCCCAGGAATACTGAGGTCCATAGAGGAACCAGGGGCAGAGTAGCCATCATCCATGATCTCCCAGTTACGAGACTGACAAAATCAAATGCATGAATAAATATTTTTGAATAGTAATTGACAAAGCCCCTGGGCATTTTAAACTGATCGGGTAGCTTTAAATGTAACAAAGATTTATGCAAGTAATTCTTAATACACTTTGCAGTTACAGGAAAAGCAAAGTATATTCTTCCTGGTTTAAAAAAAAACAAAAAAAACAAGAACTTTTCTAATCAATTGTTCTGAAGGTTAATTGTATTAGCCCATCAATCTGAGAAAGGCTATGGAGTCTAAGGATTTTGGACAAAGAAAATAGGTGGTTTGAGAAGGGTGTGAAAGAAGCCATTGATGTTAAGAAAAAGAATGTTAAGAAAAAAGCAAACAGAGGGGGTAGACTCATTTCACTTGTCAAAAACCTACAATGCAGCGATAGAGATGATTCCTTCCTACCATCATCACAATACCCTTAACAGGGGAACAGAAGACATTGCCTTTTCAGCCAGGCCAACAATTCCATTTAATGACCCCCCTGTCAGAGACATAGGGGGCATTGCAGGCTAACAAAAGAAACCAAATGACCCCCATTCCAAAGAGGTGGACCCGTTTGAAACAAAAAGACTGTTGGGCTACTGTATAAAGCGTCAAACTAACGCCATTTCTGACCATTTTTGAATTGAAAAAGCTTCCCGAGTGGGAAGCAAAACGTCTTCAAACTTGGAAACAAAGTCCAGTGGATTGTCGTTTTTTTAAACTTTTTTGGAAGGCTATGGAGGTCATTTTCAAGCACATTGAATTGTCATTCTAGTCTCAGATAAGGCCGTTTATTTGCTAGACTAAAAGCAAGAATGCAACTCATCTTTTCAGAGATGATTATAGGAAATTTACCAGAAGCTCTCGCTGTGCAAAACAGAGACACTGCAAAAAACAAACACCATATTATAGGTAAAAACAAAGTAAATAAAGAAAAAAAATAAAAGTAAAAAATAGACTCAAGAAAGCATAATTTTAGCTTGTTTTCAACAGCCGTAGAGAGAATAGCATTTTTTTCTTAAAAATATGGTATCTGGACAAATATATACATCAACATTAAGACTTTAAAAAAAAAAAAAACATTTGGAAAGACAGAAAACATCTCAGACTTGTTTTTCTGACTAAGAAGCAGTGGAAAACAACGTCTCGTGAGAACAGTATTTAAAAAAAATAATAAAAATAAAATAAAACAGTGACAGTATTGTCCCATTTGTCCCAAACTGTTGCATCCAAGTAAAAAAAAAAAAAGTAATCTTATTGGAAAATTTAATTGAGGTAGATTTTTTTTTTCTCAGCTGCTGCAATTACAGTGTTGTGCATTTCCCTCACCTGTTTTGAATGCTTGGATGAACCCGTGCTGTTATTCCGAGAGTGAGTTGGTTTGAAAGTACTGGCAGGGGATTTGTCAGCAAAGCTAATGACAGACTGGCTGCTGCCCGCCTGAGGGTCCATTAGTGTGATTTGATGAAGACGGTTTTGCAGAGACAGAAAGTCTTTGGAGCTATCTGCGTTTCATGGAAGTCTGATTAAGAGAAAACAAAAGTAGTGTTTGATCAATTTAATAAAGAAAAATATGATTGATAACAGGATGCAGCGTAATCTTTGTGTCGGAAAAAAGTAGTTTGAATACAAATTCAACAAAAGATTCTCAATTTCAATGACACTAACATGGAAGGTTATTACCGTAACTAAAAGCAAAGTGAACAGGAGCCCAAGCTCACATTGAAGTTTTATGATGTGACATGTAAATATTCAGCTCAATTTTATTTTGCTTAGGCCTTTAAGGTGTATTTTATAAATGCTTGGAATGCTCTGCCAATGAACTTAAAAGAAATTGAGGGAATTCTTATTTTCTGTATATTATCATTAACTTGTGGAAAAGCCTTTATGTTTTATTGAGATTAATAATAAAAAAAAACATTACTTTAGGAAACAAAAGACATTGTCCCCATCTTGATCGGAATAGTGTGTGACTGGTTAGAGCAATAAGTGACAAAAATAAATAAACTAAAAAAAAAATAGATTTTTCAATTAAACTGATATGTTTCCATTTAGAAAACTACTATCAGTAAATGGAATATTTTAATTTTTTGGCAGAAATCACCAAGAGCTGAAAAGGTGTTTCATGGGGCCATCTATATTACGAAGCTCTGTTTAACTCAACATAAACTTGACGTCTTTTTTTTTTTTTTTTTTTTTTTTTTTTATTAACTACAGTAATTGTCTGTCTCACTTTGGTTTAGAGGTTTAATTAGTAATCATAACCAGTATAAGTAAGCAAAAGTGGGCCTACTCACCCAGTACCCAGTCAATATAGTTAAATTGTTGTTCACCAATTCAGAATCAAATCAGGTATTTTTAGTTAGGTAATCATAGTTAAGTCTAACCCTGTTGGCCCTGTTTCTTTTTTTTGTTTTCATAAGGGAAGGGAGAGGAGGAGAGAAAAAAAAAAAAAACTTCATATAAAAAAAGATTACACAACAAGCGATACATTACAATGACCTTATCTATAAATTAATCTTCATAGTTTATAAGACGACAGATATATAGAGAGTTCTGCTAGCCAAAAGTCCAATTACAAATTAAACTCACCTGTGATTAGCAAGATAATTTACAAGCTTAACTTCTTTGGTTCACAGTAAATCCCTCCTGTTGAATTCCTTCAAATTTTCCTGAGAACAAAAACAATACAAAATAAAAAATACATGTAGAGTAGAATCCTATGAAATATTATGAAAGGGAATTAGCAGAGCAAAGAACTACCATCTTCTTCTATGTTACAAAAAGCACTACCTCACCTGAGAGAAAACCTGCTTGTCAGAGTGGTTTAGATCAGCGAGCAAGTATCTGGGTGGAGCCAGTTGTTGGAGAAAAAAAAAAACAACCTCCCCAGACAGGATCATCAACTATGTTGCAACAAGAATGACAAGCAATGAAACAGAGCTTTTATCAGATGATAGACCTCAAAAAACCAGCTGGGGTTAAAAGTTGTGATGTTCCAGCAGCACACAAGCTAGCAATGTTTCCGCATCAGCATTTTGTTATGTTGAAAATATGTCACAACAATCACTATGTGATGCCATGATGTACAGGAAAAATTTGGTCACACAAAAAACTTAACTGCCTATTTCTTAAGGAAGGCTTTTCTCAGTCTGAATGTAGAGGAGATATCACAAATAAACCCATTTGGCTTTCTGAATTTCTGAACAGGTGATATCAATTAGGTAACTCAACTATGAGTCAAGTTATGCAAGAGTTAAGTGTGAGAGCAAGGATTTCAAAAGCCCTCCTCAATTGAAAGCAGAGAACATGATTAAACTTGGCAAAGAAAAAAAAAAAAGAGGCATAGAAGTTTGCATTTCTCATCAGTGGAAGTAAACGTATTCATGACATCATATGGACATTTTAAAATAAATTTAATCTAAAGACAAAGAAACAAAAAACAGGATTATTGCAAAAATGGCAGGCCGTTTCCACCCGTCCCTTAAAATAAGGGATGGTCTTTTATTTTTGCAGTTAAACAATTTCTCCCATATTTATCCAGTAGGAGATATTCCACACTTGCTATTCCTCCATTTCCTCAGAAGGAAACTCTTTCAAAAATACAGACATTAATGGTAAGCAACAAACCTTTGACTGAACATCGTCAGTAGGGGTGAGGAAAACATTTGAAATATGTTGGGATGCACAGCAAACCATTCAGGATTCAGGACAACAGACCCATAAGAGAGCTGAATCCCCAGCATCAGCCTTTCATATCCTGACCATTTCCTGACACTTATATGATGCAGAATATTATATAATACTGTTGATTGTATATACGGAGATCCTTATTTAATTTTATTCATATCCTTTTCTTATTTTATTCTTATCCTTCAGAATTTCCCTGAAGGAGTAATCCCAAGGGATAAATAAAGTCTTATTTTATTTTAATCCTGTATCTCATTTAACACCGTTTATATGGGAGGGGTGTAATTTTAATGTGTGGGTTGTTGTTTTACTTATTTTATTCTGTCTTAATATAATATCTTTTATTTTGCTCTATTGTACTTACATTCTTATTTTTTTTCTCTTCTGTAAACGGTTGCACTGCAAGAAAGGAATTTCCCGCAAGGGATTAATAAAGTAATTCTGATTCTAAATTTTATTGTGGTTCTGTTGATTGTTTATGTGGAGTTAATGATAATTGTTTTATTATTGTGTATATTTGATAATATAAGTGGTTATTTAAAGAGGAAATCATACTAATTGTAAAAATTAATACAAGAAAATAAAAATATTGACAATATAAAATGCTCTTTTTTTAGATTTTATAGTGTTTAAAAAAAGTTTCAGCATCTATTTTGTGCATGCAAATGAGTTTCCTGCTTCTTTGTAGATCTTATAGTACATTTTTATGAGCATTTAGCACACACAATATTTAAAATTTATTATATATATATATAAATAGTTCTAAATCATACTCTCCACACAAACTCACCACCTATAGGTGCTAGTACCATGTGGTAGATTTACATTTTGTACAGTAGACATATATTATTTTTATTTTATTTTAACTGTTGTGTGCAAATGGCACTTTATTATATTTTAATTATGTTTTAAAATGAATCTTCTTTCACAATCATAGCTAGATACTTGAAATGAAGCAAAAATATCCTCAAGCTCTGAGATGTCCTTTAGCTCCTCACATTTAATTGCTGCAGTCTACAGATCTGAGAGTGTGCTGATTGAACCTGTCTACTTTTAAGCCTCATCACGTTCTTGAATTTATCAAAGGAAAAAAAAGTCACACTCAAATTTTCATTGTTGGACTTAATTTGAAAAACTGATGATATTATGAAAGTTATATAGAAAAAAATTGTATTTGTGTAACTGATTAACAGTTTATGTTGGATTTTATTTTATTCCCTGAGAATTTGTGAACAGTGCGCATATGTGCAGCTTAAATGGAATATTAATAAAGGTGCTGAACCCAGGGCATAGGTGTCCCATTTTCATTTATAAAAGGTGGCAACCTCAGATAGACAATGAAAGTTATGTTCTCAACATTTCAGTCATTAACATAAAAAAGGATGAGTGTGTGCATTAGAATATGTGTCTAGGTTTAATTCAGCAGGCATTAAAAGCCTGTAGCATTCATGGTAAAATATTTTTTAATGAAGTTAAATCAGGAAAGGGGCAGTTATGAGCTATTTTTCTGTTTAACCTTTACCAACAGTTACATAGCATTTTACAGCTTTATTCAGCAAAGGAAATTAACAATATGTAAGAACCTAAACCTTTTTTCATGACTTAATTTGAAAAAGATCAGACACCTGGCACTAACCTGCCACCTTGCACTAAAGACATATACGGGTGTTTTGAAACTACATCACCAAAAATTCCTTTAGGCCACACAGACTTTTGTTCCATATATTGACATCATTTGTTTATATATATATTTTTTTCAGCATGTGTGTCCAGGAGTCTTATTTGTAAAGTTTGTTTTACATGAAATAGGGCCTGAAAGATGTGTACATCAGCTTTAACAAAAGGGTTTCCTCTATAAAAATCAAAATTGGCCTTAAATGTGCGATTCCTCATGCCAGCTCTAACCCATTCAAATAGTGTACTCACATTTTAGCGAAGCAGATGGTGACTGGGAGACTTTCATTTGTATGTATAATTTTAAAAGCTGAGGTTGAGCTTTAAGCAAAGTGGTTGGTTCTGCTGGAGGTTTCTTCCTGTTAAAAGGGAGTTTTTCCTCTCCACTGTTGCTACAAGCATGCTTAGTGTGAGGGATTGTATTTGAGTCAATGAATCAGTGCAATCAACTGGTTTTCCTTAGATAGAAAACTTTGTATCAATTTGACTGTATGATCTGTTTGAACTGTAAAGTGCCTTGAGATGACATGTGTTGTGAATTTGGCGCTATATAAATAAACTGAATGGAATTGAATTGTAGAGCGAATGTAGATTTGACCAATCAGAGGCCTCCTGTCTGCTGCACTGTCTGCGATCACCTACGTGAGAACCAGAGCTGCACCCAGAGGTGCACCCGGTTTTCTGCAGAAGGGATGGGGCACATCTGCACTACCTACGACACCAATGCTGACGACCTGGTTTCTAAGC